CAATCTACTAAGGGAAGTTTAATTAATAAAAATCTTGTAATTGAATTGTGCTGAAATGAATATTGACATTAGGGATGCCTGATTTAGCAGTGAACTGAGATCTTGGGACCTGCATTTACAATTGTGCTGTTAACATCGAGGCTTTTTTCCTGCCCGTGTCTCGTCTCACAGGCGCATGTGCTGGGTGCTTGGCTGTATAAAAAGGATGTGCTATTCCCAGGAGTAATTAAAGGCATGTGCAACTGTTGACAGGATCTAAGCCCAGAGTGGTAAACACAGCAGCTGGGATCTGGCAAGAGCCAGGGCTTTGAATGGAGAATTAAACTTGATCAAACTGGTGAGAATAACTGTCTTTAGGCCATTCCTGCTTTTGTTGATCAGGAAGGTGAAATTTGAGAAGGGAATAAGAGCACAGGATCCCACAAAACCTCATTGTTCATGGAGAAGGACACTGGGAAGAATGGGGAGTTGTGTTTGAAGTTCAGTCATAAAATCCTGATTTACAAAGGGACTCATTCCCCAGATGCCCATCAGCTTCCTTGTTAACTTCTGTCACCTTTTGTGTCCCCCCACCCCTTGGATGACCAGATGTGCAAGGCTTGCACAGCTGCACTCATCTGTGTGGAGGGAGGGAGGGAGCAAGGGGGAGAGAAAAATGTGGGATTCCACCCTCATTTTTAGGACTGATGAGAGAGAAGCCCTGCGGGACAGGAGCTGCACCAAGAGGTGCTTCACTCCCTGCTCTTAGGGGTTGGTAACCAGTGACCCCTTTGCTCTGTGTTAAGAGGTAACACAGGGAGAAAGAGCACCAGGCTGGGCTCAGCTCCTGGCACTGAGCTTGTTTATCCTGTTAGCCCTGTCTCTCAGAGCATCATTCACTCTGTCCCCAGACACATGCTCTTATGATAATTTCTGTAATTCTATTAGCTTGGAGGAAATAGGCTTTACTGTCCATTTGATTTTATTTCTTTTTTTTTTTTTTCCAGAGAACTCGGCTGTTTGGTCTTTTAACTTAACCCTTTGTGGGTACTTTTGTCTTTGCCTTTCCAGGACATTGAGGCTAAATGCCTTCCCTTTCTGCTTCCCTGCTATAAGCAGCATTATAACTGAGATTTCTGTTTGTTCTTTTTAATCCCAACTAGAAATGAGTTAAAGCTTCAAAGACAATATCATAAACTCGTATTCCCCAAAAGCCAGTGCTTAGCCTGGATAATTTGGAAACATCTGATCTGCAGAGGAAGCAAAGAGCCATTACATCAAGAGACACAGGTACTTCAGTTTAATTAGCTGAGTTACTGAAATTTTCAGTGGTGTTTATGTGGCACAGATGTTTTGTTTCCAACACCCCATGCTGGAGGTGCTGGTGAAATCAGCTCAGGATTGTGGTAGGATTATTTTTATGGCCAAGGGAGAGTGATGTGATGAGAACACGTCACCATGACTGCATTGCAGAACTACATAGAAGAAGAATTTGTCTGATTAGGGGGAAGCTGATCTACCCAAGAAGATCTGCAGTAACAGAGTATGCAGCCTTTGCTTTTTAATAAATATGCTCAGGTATCAACTCAGGTAATGAAGGAAAGAATATTTTCGCACCTTTGCTGGGATATTGATGCTTTCTCTTTAAAAATTCAACACTGCTGTTGCTCCCAGTTTGCTGTGGCTGCAGGGGTGCAGAAACAGTCCCAAATAAATGCACCTGGATGCAGGTGGTACGTGTGGGTGGTGGTGGTGGCATTTCTACATGTTCTGATGAAAGGCAGGATTGGTCAGGATTAAAGAGTTTTATAATTCATGTAAGAGTTGAACTTGATGATCCTCGTGGGTCCCTTCCAACTCAGAATATTCTGTGAAATCTGTGATGGTAGGGAATGGAGAGAGAGCCAACAGAGGCTTTTCTTCACTGGCAGGGAAGCAGACTGGTTGCACACTGCTATTGAAAAACAATTTTAGTGTAAAATACATTTTGAATGTCCATTTTTTTAAATGAAAAATATTACGATAAAACCCCGGAAAAGTGGAAATGTTGAAGTTCATTTTGTTTGGTGAACTGGGATATTATGCATATTTGCTTGCAAGATGACATTTTTGACGTTTCCTTTTCTCCAGAAATCTTTTATTTTTGAAATTCCGCCAGGAAAACCAAAGTGGAAAACCCTGTAATTCTCTGACAAGTTAAACTGGGAACAGTTCTATATATTACATAGGTGGAGCTGCTGAGGGTTAGGCAAAAGCAGTGTTTGCCACTTTGAAAGCACGGTTTTAGGAGGTCAGATCTTTCAGGATTTTAGGACTTGGGGTGAAATTTTTCATTCTGAAGTTTTCTATAGATTGAATTATTTCTGGAAATGTTAAACACACAGTGGTGGCTTCCAAGGACGTCCTTAGGAAAGCTGATATTGTTCCAGTTGTGATTAAAAAAGGAGTGCATGGAAAGCACCAGAGCCCATTTGCTGGATGAGGAGCCGTGTTCCCCAGGCATCCCCCTGGGGCCAGCAATGTGCCTTTGGAAAGCTTTTTCTGGGTTTGTCAAGTCTGAGGCCTTCATCTGCCTGCACTCTGTGTTAGCTGCTAGCTGAGCTGCCAAATCCTTTCTAAAACTTTCCTGTGTGCTGAGGATAATTCAGCTGAAGGCTGTGGTTACAGAGCCAAGTGCTATCAGTCTTCACTGCTCATGAGGATGAGCCAGCTCTGAGATGGGAGCAGCAGGGGCCTCCTTTCAGCTGCGCTCAGGCAGTGAGGGGGAGGATGAGAAGGAGAAGGGACTGGGTAGAAGAGTAAAATTTGATAAGAGGGTGAGGGGGGGGACAGAGCCAAAAGTGCTGTTGGTGCTGGTAAAAATGGCAGAGGGGTCTCTGCTCTGCACAGGCCCGGTGTCAAGTGGGGGGACTGCAGGGGCCGTGGCAGACTTGGTGAACCTTTGGTTGTTTAGGAGAGTGAGTCCCCTCCCTTCTGCCCCCAAGGGATGTGCAGGGTCTCTCACAGCCCATTAAGTCTGTGCTGCCTCTCTCAGACTCACTGGTCAGGGTTATTCTGATATTTAAAGGGCCTTCACCTTTACACTGTCTGCACAGCACTGGCAGCTGCTCTGCCTTCCCTGTGGCTTCTCTGTCAGCAGAAAAAGCTGTTTAGCAGCTGGGGCAGTGTGTGCACCTGTGCTTGTGATATAACCTAACACAGAGGATTATATGTGTATATATATATTTTATATATATATATATATATAACCTGCACTGGGAGAGCACCCCTCTGCTCCCAGGGGCTGCCTGTGCCCCATCTCATCTCACAGCTGTTCAGTTGCCTGCAGAGAAACAGCTCTGCTCTCTAGGTCTGAAAAGGAGAAGGAAACATTTAAGGCAGGGAAAGCAGGTTTGACTTTCCCCCGCCCATCAGTCACCCGGGGAATGTCCAGAATAGATAATGTTTGGGGAGGTGGCCAGGGCATTGCCCCCCACTGTGAGAGCAGGATGTGGCAGCTTGGCTAATCACAGGGTGTACCTGCACCAGGAGGGCTGTCCTGCACTTATCCATCCCCACCTGCCTGTCTGTGATGGACACAGTCACAGTGCTTCGAGGAAGGGGATTGGGAGGGAGGATGACACTGTGACAACCCTTTCTCCTTCTAACATACGACCTCAAGGAGCCTCAGCCACCCCACTTGTGATACTTTTTCACCGTCCTTCCCAGAGTGCTGGGCACCAGGCCATGCTCAAGTGTTCAGGCCCTCAGGAGAGCCCTTCCAGGGCTCAGGGGGGAGCGTGTGGGGTGAGGATGCGTGTGCCAGTGGTGCAGGGGAGTTCAGCCACGGGCTGGGAAGGAGGGAATGAGGTCCTGCAGCTGCTCTGAACAGTTGGAAAGGTGGATGGAGCTGTTTTGGCATGTCTAGATCTATGTAGTTATCTGGAGCTTCCTGGGAATGCTGATCTAGGGGGAGATGTAGCTCAGTTTTGATGAAGGCAAATAGATCTGGAACTGTTGTCACCTGTGGCTTGTTGAAGAACACAGGTTTAGGAGTCAGCTGGTTCTCCCCTGGGACAGGTGAGCCTCAAATCCCCTTCACAAGTAGTAGAGGATTTTAACAGTTTGTTCTCCAGTCATTAGTTGTGCTTATCAGTGGTGGTACAATTGTTATGTATCCTGACCACACCCCAGGGGAAGCTGAGGTTAGCCAGGAGCCCACTTCTCTTCTTGCAGGTTACCTGGAACAAACTGTGGTGGGATTGTCCTGTGATGGGAGTCTGGGGCCTCCATCTGTCCTTTGCCAAAGCCTTTGAGACTCCACATGCCTTATGTGCTTCCCTAGCTAATTTGTTGAGGATTAGACTTAAATCCACATTAAAATCTCCCCAGAAAAACACACAGGTCTGTGTGTTCTCAGGTGTCCTTCTCATTCTCGTTGCCTTTCACAGTTGTCTTCTCCAGTTGCTTTCCTGTGCTCTCAGCCTGGGATTCATTAAAGTGTATGTGAGCCCCAGAGACATGAAAGTTGCAGGAACATTTGAGGACCAAATCTATATAAAGGAAAAAATTATGTTTTATTTGTATTTCATCAATGAACAGAGTATTATCTACGTGTTTGTTTATCATACATTTTTGCTGTTGTTGATCGTTCAGCTGTCGGGGATGGCAAGGTGAGAAACCTTGCAGTGGTTACCTCAGAAGTGTGTTTCTATTTCTAGGCTCAGGTTTAAGTATCAAACCCACTTGTAATGTTCTTTATACATCAGACACAAATTGTTTTGATGCATTTGAAGGAAACAGATTTCATAGCAATACCTTCTTCGTAACAGGGAAATTTCAGTATTCTGAGGAAAGGAAAGATCCTTCCTAAGGCAATGTATTTAAAATATAGTAGTAATAATAATAATAATAATAATAATAATAATAATAATAATAATAATAATAATAACAATAATAATAAGCCAGGATGGCATGTTGTACAGTAAAAGCCTTTTTCTGTAATGTTCAGATTTCAAACAATTGAAAAAAGGGCCAAAAAATTTTAGTTTTCTGCTTGTTTGGGTTTTTTTTTCTTACAACAGTAAGTCAAGTTCTACTTTCCTTTTCCCTACCCTAAGGGATGTAAGCGCAACTCACTTGGCATCTCTGTGGATTTAACAGAGGGGAACTGAGAGTAGAATGGGACCCAACATTTGTGTAAATATTGACAATTTTAAATGGCAACTAAGGGTTCATGGCAGCAGTGTGGTTTTGAAAAAGGGGTTGCAGAAATAATCCAACAGTCCCCAGGACACAAACAAGGACAAATATCCAGAGGAACAGCCTGTCCACTACCATGGCAACATACTTCCAATCTTCAATGACCTGGAAGAAAAAGCCAATTAAAGATATTAGCAATTTGTCATATTCTTTTGCTCTTCCTCTTGCTAATGCTGAGTTTCTGTTTATGAAAATAAAAGGAAATAGATCTCAAGGTTCAGGGAATGAACTGACTTTAGGCTTGGTAAGGGATTTTTCTCTTACAACCATTCTGAGCAGCGGAGAAAAATACAGTGAATATTTCTCAGCTTTCTTGGATGCATCAGGTCCTGAGCGTGGCTGCCTGGTGAAGCCAGTCCTGAAGGACCCACAGGATAATCCAATTAAGGATTTTTTTCCTTTAATTTTGGTTTGCAGATGCTATTAATCTCAGTGGGCAAAAATAGGTGGCGTTCTGCTGTTAAACAAGGTTAGCTTCAGAATTCTTTTCTTATCAGCAGTCATCTTAATCAAGGGGTTTAATGCATATTAATACCGTTGCTTTTGTTAAAATCCCTTTTTGCCTTGCATGTGTTGTCTGTGAAAGCCACAGCCTTGGATTTTGTCTCAAACTGAAGTGACTGTCTGGCTGTTACTGTAAAAGGGGAATATATCAACCTCCATTTATATCTCAGGGATATTTTTTTCCTCTCTCATTGTTTCTACTTCCATGTGGGACATCCTCACGTTGATGACTTTACCATGCTGGTCAATTGTCTCACATCTTCTATTAGAATATTACATATTTTTTTTTCCTTCAGTGCACACTTTTAATTTCCACTAATGGAAATTAAACTCTTCTGAAATTAGACTATGTAAATGTACATGAACAGTTGTTATCAGACCATGGTGATGAAGGAAGTTATGAATCTAGAAAAACGATATGTAATATTGGAGGATCGTATGTGAAAAGCATTAAATGAATTTTCAATGTATAAAATACCCTTGAAAATTGTTCTTACTATCAGTTGCAAGCTTTGTAGATCCTTTAGTGTGCAACACATTCTTGCAAGAATTTCTAAGCTATTAGCCTTTTTTCTGCTCTGTGAAGTCTGCTGCTCTTCAGTCAGCTTCAGTGTTTATGAGCTCATGTCTAATGTCAATAGCTGAACTTCTTTATTTATATTGACAGTAATTTCAGTTAATAGAAAACATGAATTACTCAGCAGCATGCTCCTCAAGGGACTTCTGCAAGATCAGAAACCAGACTCTTCTTGTTAGAGGGAGGGGGAGCACAACGGGAATAGAGAACCCGCAGTCTGACCGGGATCTGGGTCAGAGAGAGGACACTGGTAGGTATGAAGAGGGTTTTTCCTAACTGTGGGTGCCTGTCTAAACAAAACTGTGAGCCAACTGAGTTTTCCAAGCATTATTCCGAGTGTATTCTCTCAGCTTTGGTGTTCCAGCTGGTGGCCTGTGAGCAGGGCAGCAGCAGCACTGCTTAAATGTGTCCTGGATAAAGTATTTCTCGTAACCATTAACGAGTCTGATTTATCTCAAATGAAAGAAGCAGCAGCTCTGCTGGCTTTAGGTTTTTAATGCTACCCATCGTGTTTGCCATCTCTAGACAGGTGTCTTACCCAGAGAGGGTGTTTGCAAAGGCCTTCTACCAACTCCACTAAATCCTGCTGAGCCCAGTCAGGGAAATAAATGCTGGAGCTGCAGGTACAGTTTCTGGTTAACTTGGCCTGGCCATCGGTTGAATCACAGTCTGACTGAATACAATGGAGAAAAATAGTCTTTTTCTGACCTGGAACTGAATATTGTTTTCTTCCCCTGCCAAGCACTACTTGAGTGTGACAAAGCTTTTTCAAGGGTGTTTCATGGTTAACTGAGCAATCAACAAACTCTCTCTGTAGAAAGAGCCATGTTACTTATCAGGAGAGTATTTACAGTTACCAAATTGCTGTTCATTAAGTCCTTTAATGGCAACAATTATTTCCTCTTAGGAGCTATATCTAGAATCTCTCTAAAAACCTGAGAGTTCAAATACACTTTCTGAGGAAGAGCATGTTACAGAGGAGGACAGGAGATGAAGTTTGGAAAGATGGGGCTGATTTCTCATTTTTACTTACACTCTGGTCGTTGTCATCACTTTTCATGTGCTCTGCTATAAAACTGACTCCATCAATTGCTTCTTGGACTTCAGGAGAAAATTTCGTGCCTGTTCTTAACCTAAAATCTCGATGACTGCTGATATTGTCAAGTGTCTCAGAGACCTTCGTATCATACTTTTTGGCAGGAGCTGTATTCAAAAAATAGGTAGAGTTCTTGTAGAAGTCAGCTGCCTCCATACAAGGGTGCTCTGCTTTTGTCTTTTTGCAGTTGCAGGGCTTTTGCCGTGGGGGATTGTTTTCTGGACGCTTCATGAACAGGTAGGCTGGGAGTTTTTCAAGGAAAACCACCTTTACCCAGGGGGGCATCATGTGGGTACTTGGAGATCTGTGGTGGACATTGAGTACACAGACACTGGTAACTATTGAGAAGGTCACCAGTACCATTGTAAACATGAGATACTTCCCAATCAGTGGAACATCGAGAGACGTCGGAGGGACAATCTTGGAGATCAGCAGCAAGAACACAGTCAAGGCGAGCAACACAGAGATGCACAAGGTCATTTTTTCACCACAGTCTGAAGGCAAGTAGAATACCAGGATGGCTAAGGACGTGATTAGCACACAGGGAATGATAAGATTGATGGTGTAAAAAAGAGGTTTCCTTTTAATAATGAAGTCATATGTCACATCGACATAACTGGGGTCCAGAGGATTTACAGTCCTCCTTCCTGGCAGTGCTACAATGTCCCACTCTCCGCTCGGCGTGAAGTCGTCCATGCTTGCCATGGAAGTTTTGAGCACCATATCAATTTCTGTGTGGTCGTACGTCCAGGATCTGAACTTCAGGGTGCAGTTCTGCTGGTCGAAGGGGAAATGCTTGACTTCGATCTTGCAGGCACTCTTGTAAATGGCTGGTGGCAGCCAGCGGATGCTCCCGTTGTTCTTCACGATCGCGTTCGCGTACAGCGAGACCTCGTACGTGCCGTCCGCGCTGGGGAACGAGCAGAGACAAAGGAGAGAGGGCATGAAACACTAAGAGGGAAAACACAGCTCGGAACAGAAGAGCAATTTATCAAATTGTTGTTAAATAATAGATATACACCTCTGTTTCATCCAGAGAAATCAAAGTACTTTGTAAATGTTTGTTAAAGCAACTTCAGCTCCCTGCGTCTCTGAAGGCCGAGTGAAAATGAGATCATCCCACGTGAAAATGGAGGTGCCTTTGATCTGAAACACAGACACTGCTAAGAGCACAGAGCACACTCCTAAATGACTTGGACGAGGAAATAAGGATGAGCAGCATTAGTTAGAAATGCAGGGAGAGTGTAGGCAGAGGAAATGTAATTATATGGTTTATAATTTAGGACGTCACTCCAGTTAATGTTTACTCATTACAAAACCAGAACAGACAAGCCACAGTGTTCTTAGTGCCCACAAATAATCTTGGCTTTGTATCTCTTCCCACTGCTGAACTTCCACCAGGGGAGTCTTCTGCTTGAAGATGGGCCCTTTAATTCAGGGAGCAGATCATTATCCCTCAGTGGTCAATATCTTCTCCTGCCCAATGTTCCTGGGCAAACAACTTAGGGCTGTTGAACCTATTAAGTATCCTGAGGTAGTACCCTTGTTTGCTGACAAGACATGATGGAAAATAGGGTTATTTCAGTGCTAAGGCTGATTTTTTTTTCTCAGCAGGGAAGTGCTACAAGTATCCAAGGCTTGGCACATGTGGAGCTGTTCTCCGGATCAGTAAGGTTTGGCTCTGGAAAGGGCTCGCCTTGGTGAGGTTCTGAGTGCCTGGCACTGAGCTGAGACCCCTGCAGATAATTCATGCAGGCAGTGGAACAACCAGATGCAGAAGTGAGTGGCTGCAGCATAGGGGGGTTGTTAGTTCACTGACAATGAGTAGCTATTTTTTGACAAATCGATAGCATCTTAGTTCTCACATACCTGTGTCTCCTAAGTTAGCTTTACTGTCCTGTCAGACAGTGTGCTGGGCACACTCCTGGGTTGAGAATGTGTTGGGTTTTGTGCTGACTGCCCCATTTCAGCTACTGGTCCTGCCTCAGAGCCCTGTGCAGTGCTGTGCATGGACAGAGCTGTGGGCACAGGGATGTGCTTTGTGTTTGCCTTAGGACTCACTGATGCCAATGAAACTCTGCTCCAGCAGCAGTAAATTGCAGGGGCTTGTCCTTTATCTAAAACTTCAATTTGAAGCTTTGTACTGATGTAAAAATCCAATAGGGTGAGGCTTGTTCCCCTACATTTAAGAAACCTTTTAAAACTGTTTCCTTCTATTCTTACAAATCACTAAATGGTATCACTTGGGGAGTAGCAGAAAGAAGCAGAGGGCACGGGCACAATTCACCAGAACAAGCTTCGAGCAGCCAGTACGTCCTAATCCACTGGCTGAATTATTTTGTTACTAATACACTAGTTTTAAGTGTTCATCAAATCTGATTTGTTGTAGGATTCCAAGGACTTAACTCAGATATATATAAACTTCCTGGGTTTCCCATCTGTATATGTTCATAAATCATCATCTGTTTGTGAATTCATTGGTTTTCAAAGTATCGTGAAAGTATAAATTTTGATTATTTTCTCCCCCCAAAATTTATATCATCCACTTCAAGGCTTTGCTAGAGACTTAAACCAAAGCAAACCAAAATTGTCAGCTAGTAAAATTATCTTTGAGGCCAGTGCCCCGGTCAGATACAGCTGATACTATCAAACAGTTACAAAATTCAGTTCTATAATTTTATCAGACCTACTTCATTGTTTCTGGTGCTTGTTTCTTGGTCAAAATTTTGTTCATTGTCTGCATAAACTACAGAAGTTGTACTTACTTATTGTAAAGCACAATGTCTGGCAACCAGATGTGTTTGGCAGGTATTCTCAGCATCTTTATCCCTTCATAGTCCGAGGGCTTCCAAGCCAGACGATAATCAATCCACTCCTACGAGAAGAATTGTAGAGCAGTGATGGGAGTTTCCAGACCAGCCCTAACAAAACAATCATTTGATGGAGGGAGAGCATTTGTGGTTTGCAAGGGCACATCTCTGTGGGTTTGGTTACCTGGTTCAGCCAGACATTTGTAGTCATGATCTGCTCCCGTTCATTCTGCAGGGAAAAACGGAGACAAAAGTTGGCCTCTAAAATATTTCACTTGATTGCAGCAACAAGATTTATTCAGTGGGGTTTTGAGCATGTCTCCAACTGTGCAGCATGGCTTTGCTCAGTGGGTTTCAAGGCAGGCATTTCTCTGCAGGTAGGATGGCCAGTCTCATACACATGATGATGACCAATAGTAACCCCACAAGTGTAGAGCTCCAAATGCCTTTTAGCAAGAACAGTTATGGCAGGAGTGATTTGGGAACAATCACCACCACCCTACCCAGCTGATTTCCTCCCCCCACCCCACTTCTCCACCTTTGATTTACAGAACAGAAGGTACATTTGGCCACTGGGAGGGCCTCCACGAGGTTGTGTGAGGTTGATGTAAGGTTTGCCATGTGAGCTCTCAGCTGGCAGGCTCTGTCCTGTGGAACTGCTGTCTCTCTGCAGAGCAGTCCAGAAGAGAAATCTCTCTACAGCAGATTTGTCAGAAGGATTTCTGCAGGAAAACAGGTTAATTCTCTGATCCTGAAGATGCTTGGGTTGTTAGAGCCTATAAAATGCCTAATTTTGTGTTCTGCTTGAAGAGTGAGGATACAGAGGGATAGGGACTGAGCTGTGCTGTTCTCGATCCCTGCCCATTCATCTGCTCTGTTTAGGCTGTGATCACTGGGGCCTCTGGGACATCTTGTTTTTTATGCCCAGCATCTGAAATCTTGAGGACAATGTGCCAGTGGTGGTAGTGCAGTGTGTAGGGAGGTGTGTCTGTGTCCAGGTGGAATTCTCCAGGAGAGAGGAAGCACTCGCACCAGAGTCACCTGGTATACATGGCATTATATCCTGTGTATATATATCTGTACACACACAGAGGCTGAATATTTTATATACATATATACATATATGTATATAAAATACATTTTTATCTGTCTGTCTATCTATCTATCTAATATCCAGCCTGTATGTATATATATACACACAGGCTAGATATTATATATATATATGTAATATCCAGCCTGCACGTGTGTATGAAACCTCAGCTGTTGTACAGTTTCCCTTTTGTTCCATCTGTGTCTCTCCCATTTCCTCTTGAATTTCAGACTCTAGATCCTCGAGGTCTCAAAGTTTGCAGCAGTGCAGGCAGTAGCCCTTACACAGATTCTGGCAGGGAGGCAGCCATCTGTATCTTTGTCACCCAGGGAGAGAGCAGCACAGATAGGAGCCCTGATTCAGGAAATGATTCCCACTTCTGTGCTGGCTCTTGTTCCAGTGCAGTAAATGCTAACCTCTCTTGGCAATGATGTGTTTGTACCTTGGAAGAACATGCTAACCTTGTGGGTGAAAATGTCTTTCAGACTCATTGAAGTAATTTTTATTGAATACGAGGAGTTGCGTAGATGAGGATTGTTTTAACCATGTTAAGCTATTCCAGCCAGAACTAATATGCCTTTTTCTTTACAACATTCCACTATTCTTTGCTTATATGTGTGAGATTTTGATCTGGCTTTGTAGCTTGTTTTCAAACCATTGAACCTCTTCTTTGAAAGAAGCAGTAGAAGATGGTTTAGCATTGTGGGCACAGTCCAGGATGGATCCTGACCTGGGGTAACTTACTGTAGCTGTACTGAAACCAGTGGAATGATTTCAAATTTTAGACCAATGCAGTTTTATAGGATGAAGATCTGGCCACTGTCCTTGATTGCTTAGGCATAGATTGATCTCCCTGTAGCAGCTGCAATATGAGGTAGAAAACCAGTAAATGGCATGTGTGGGCTGTGCCTATTAAGTAGTATTATACAAATGAGAAAAGAGCTGGGACACTGTAACACCAATATGACTATTAGAGTGCTGTGCAGGTAGTAATGAATTAAAAGGCATAGCCTAATTTGAACTTACCACACTGATGAGCTGTGCCAGGGAAACCTGCAGTTCTATGGACACCAACTGGGAGGAGTTGACAGCCGGTCGAATTAACTTGTTGTACCTGTCAGGACTCAGGAGGTGGTTCATCAGCTTTTCTTCAGCATCTGCTGCTGTGCTTCCTGTAAAGCATCAACAGGATTATAGAAGGGAGACCAAAGTGACATGACAGAGGGATCACAGAATCCCTGTGCATCAGATCATCTTCATGGAATAATGAGGGCTTTTGACTTTCCAGAGACTGTAGGCTTATGTGAGCAGAAGGATGTGGTGCTTGCACCAATATCTGTTCTGCTGAAGCTGATTGTCTTTCACAGAGCACAGATCAAAGCAGATCAACTGGAACCCTTCGGGTTTTTTCACAGTAAAATGTGATGCTCAAATTGATATACTCTTTTGGGATTAGAAATAGACACCACCCTCTTAATAGCAGAAGAATTGTTATATGATCCAAAGGCAGGGGGTCCAGCTGTGACTTCTCTCTTTAGTGCTGTAGGAGACAAAGTTGCAGGTACAGGTAGAAATTAAACATGGAAAACTAATTTAAACATGGAAAACCAGAGGATAAGCTGAAGGATACTTAAAGATGTTTTAATGACTGAGGACTCTTTGGTAGCTACAGAATTTGAAAACTCAAGGCAGTATGTAAGCCTTAGTTTGTGTGAAAGCAAAACCTGATTTGTGGACTAGCACAAATACCATAAATCTTAGATTGCCAAAGCTGGAGTTTAATGATTACAAAATATAGTATCTACAGGTTACTATCAAACAATCCTGAACATTCTCCATGGAGGAGAACAGCTTCTGGCACAACCCCAGAGGGAGCTGAATCTGTTCTCATATTCTTGAATGTGCTTTTTAAAGCCATTCTAGTGGACTTTTCAAACCACTATAGACCACATGGTAATACTGATGACTGAGGTCCTGGTAACATCCTGCCACCAGAAAGGACCCAGAGAGACTGTGCTGGGTGTCGAGTTCTGTGATGGTGATGGACACAGGTGCTACTGAAAGCAGGTTCTAATCCAATGGATACAATGATTCTTCCATAGGAAGGGTCACCTAATTCAGCTGTAGATGTTGCAGAGATGAGGGTAGTGCCCCTACAGCACTCTTGCTTCATTATTCCCCAGAGCAATTCCAACAGTAAAAACCATTGCCCATGCAAGTATTTTAAATTTGTGGTACATTAATTTGTTCTGTTTTTTTTAAGTTGGAGCATATCTATGAGATCCAGAGACAGGCAGATATCCAAAGGCCAGGATCAGATAAGCAGTCCAAGTTTGTGTGCACTTCTAGAAGGTGCCTAGTTTCCATGTGGACTGGGCTGGAAGTTGTTAGGGTGAGCAAGTCTCTTGAAACTTGGTTCTTCTGAATCCAACTCAGGTTAAAAAAACACCCCAAGAACTTCTCGTTTCTGATCCAGTAAGAGAGTGGAGAGATGTAAAAGGAAACATTCTCGAACAGAGCTTTCACATCTAAGAACAGCTTTTACTCAAGCTCTGTGGAAAGGCTGAGATGAAACACCAGCCCTGATTTAAATCCTTTAAGACCAGCATATGCTACAGCACTGGTAGCCCAAATTTTGTCACATATACTTAACCATAACACTGTTCTTCAAAATAGGCTTTCCAAGTACTTCCCAGGCCGTTTGGGAAGACAAATTTGGATGAATGCATCTGTGTTGGTTGGGCCAGTTTGTTTTTTGATTCACACTTGCTTTGTGCCTCCCTGCAGTCATTACAAAGGCCCTTGTACCGTGTGATATTTTAATATTGCAGTCATTCTCAATGTAAGCTGCCTAATCAAAAGCTTATCAAACTAGAGCTATGCTGATTCTTGCTGAACTCCAGATTCTGGATTTTTCTTGTGTATTGCATTCAAGGAAGAGCTAAATTTGATATTGTAAAAAAAAGGGGGCCACATTCTGTGTTTATAAGGATAGATTAGAAATCTTGTGGTAGCTAAAGAGAGAATATTGGTTATTATGTTGTGTGGTTTGGTGGGGTTTTATGTTGGTTTTGTTCATTGGGGTTTTTTTTGGTGGGGTTTTATGTTGGGTTTGTTTGTTGGGTTTTTTTAACAAACTTTCCCACTGTTGCATAGGGAAGTGACATAAGCAGATGGCTATAAATAAATTGTCATTTGGTCACTGAATGCTGCTAGCAAAGACTGAGTTCTTGTTTGAATTGTTAAATATATTTTCACTGTATTTCTGCCTTTGTCCATAAATATTCTAGCCTAGAGAGTATTTGCTAAACAGAGAGGAAGCAGTAGAAACTGCAGAATATTTGCAGAAAGCTAATTCTGGATTTGTAATTAGGTTTTTTCTCTGAAACCTGCTTTTAGCAATCCCAGTTGTCTGGTCTGCAAATCAAACCAGGGTCGTCTGGTCTGGATGTCTGATGAGAGCAGCTCAGATTTCGAGGTACTGACTCTGTTAATAAACTTGATGCAGAATAATGACAAGACACAATTCTAAAAAATTATTAGTTCAACAATGAATCCCTTTAAGAAATTATTATCTGTTCTTAGTGAAGGAATTCCTGTAATGAATAATTCTTTGTAAAATGGCATCCCATGCCAATCTTTATAATTTAACAGTCAGAAGTAAAGGTCAAAGGGGCTCCTCTTTACCTCCCTCAGCTGCCTGTGTCACAGACCACTAGATGTCAGCCGTGCCCTGCCTCAGAGCTTGCCAAAGTCAAGGGAAAGGAAAATGTAAATAAAAAGGAATGGTTCTTGTATAAGTTTTATGATCTATTTTCCATTAACTATCTACATATTAACCAGATGGCACCTACTGAAAACAAAATTCCCAGGCATTCAGGTTCATCTTTCTGTGCCTTTCATGGCAGTAGCCAGGCATTAGAAACTCCTCTCAGAGTTGGAACAAATAAAAGTGCAGTTTCTCTCCAAACTGTTTTTTTCTTTCCCCAAATAACAGTGATCACCGCAGATGCTGCAGAGGGAAGACTGACGGTTTTAGGCAAAGGACTGTAACAGCAGTGAGGAAGGAGTCCTGATCTGGGGCTGGAGTATTTTTGTGTACTGAAAGCAGTAATAGAGAGAACACATTGGGGAGGATCCTGAGCTGGGGAAATGATTTCAGCTTCACTGAACACACCACACATCTGCTCTGTGACGAGGACAGCAGTTGCCACATAACTTGCAGTAACATTCTTCAGTAAGTTTGGCTTCTCTGTGGGAGCATGACCATTAAAAAAAAATTACATCAGGATGCTTCCAGTCTCACAGCAGGAGACACAAAACCCTTTCCCTTTTACATGGTCTAATTTAAATGCATAAAGTGAAGTAACTCGTCACCCTGTGTTATGTTGTTTGTTTTCAGTGTAATGACAAATTTGCTGGAGTGATTTCCACAGAAAAGAAGCAAATACAGAAACACAGGCAAGTCCACTGTTATCACTAAATTTAAAAATTTAACATAAGGCATGTTTCCTGTGTTTCTCTGACTTCACTTATAAATGTTGAAATAGCATTTGTTTAAAAATAATTTTGTAGCATGTGTTGCCATTTTAGTTCTTTACTCTCTCACAAATAACTTAGGTGGACAATAGTGACATACCAAATTCCCTTCTGTAATTAGTAAAGAGCAAGCAAGAAGCAGGAAGGAGACAGTTCCATTATCTTCTCTAAAATTACTTTGTGATGTTGTTTCTTTTCAGCATACTCTTGAGCAAAAAGGTTTTTCACGACCTCTTAGAACAACAGCTGCTAAACTGGAATGCTTATTGTTCCAGTAGAAGTACCAGTGAATTTACTGTAGTTTAAAGACTTTTAATTTTTTAATTAATTCAAAAAAAAAAGGAAATAATAAAGGCTTTTATAAATTAAGAATCTAAAGTGGGTCCTCACTCTTCATTTGTTAGAAAGCAGATGTTTTATAAAGTTACCTTTCAGTGATTGAAGGAAAAAAAAACAACTCTGGGATGAATAGGTAATAATGGGAAATGTGTGATCTTTGTCTTGGTTTGATTTCAGGCACTTTCTCTGAGAACACTTCACTGGAGTCTCTCCACGGGAAGAAGCTCCCGTGGTAAATGCACTATTTCCTGCTGCTGTCAGGCTGTTCATGTTGGCTAAAACACATGGAAGAAATCCTGATAGACTGAAGAAAATGTATGTTTGCTTTTTTTAGCATATATTTATATATTACAACTTAATTTAAGCTATTTACGTGCTAATAAAAATAATTAGGAAGTACGAACTTCGCGACATTTAGGAACTTGAGCAAATAATTGTAGAGGGATGAGAGCTGCCTTATTTATGGTTCATGGTTCATTTTTTTCACTCTCAGCACAATATCTGCTTTTCCTATCACAGATGATCCTGAGAGCATCTAAAGGGATAACATTTAGTGATTATTATTGTCATCTCCTACAGTTCTGTCATTTTACATCCAACTTAACTGTCTGTCCATATCCATCGCAGTGCATTTGCAGATACCAAACAAGCCCAAAACAACACCAGAATAATCAATTTTATGCATCCTCTCAAAGTCTGCAAAACCTCCTGAGGTGATAGTTATGAATTGTCTGTGAGCTTTTATCCCAGTCCTGCCTCCTGGCCCCCAAAGCTATTGCTGCTCTGAAACTGTACCCGAAAGAAAAGGTCACTTACCGTTAAAACAAAGGGAGCCCACTACAAAGAGAAAGAGGGTGTACATTTTCCTCATGGCAGTAACAAGGAGAGGTGGATTACTGTCCCTCAGTCAAGCCAGCAGGCAATAGGCTCTGTTGTCAGGGATGCACAAGGAAAAGATGGAAAAGCAAACCTGAATCTTGGAGGCATTAAATGCCCGGAAAAGAGACAGACAGTAGGACCTGACAGAAGCGTTCTGCAAAGTGGAGTTTTCGTGAGCAGAGTGGTCCCTCCCCCTTTGCAGCTGTTTAAAGAGCTTTGTGAAGAGGGAAAGCACGTAAGGAGAGGGAACACAATGTGATAATGTTGAAAAAGAGGAAAGGAAAGCGCAAGCTGAAGGAACACAGTGTGCAAAACACAACTGCTTAATTCTTGCTGCTAGATAACATTTAGAAGGCTTTCTGGTTAATAAGTGCAATGGGTGGGAATAGCTGTGTGGGAAAAGCTGGATACAACTTTGTGCCATAAAACCTGCTAGTGAAAGACATGTCATAAATTAAAGCCCCAGCAGAGGGTAATTTTCTCTGTCAAGGGAGAAAGTTTATTGCCTACTGTCAACCCTTTTCCACTCCAAGGCCCACACATCTGATCTCTTTAAAAGAGAGCTCCAAAAAGCTTTCTGGGAGCAGCAGGAGAGGAACAGAGAATTTGTCTTTAGCATCTGATGGGATTTTTTAAAGAAACCTAAAGTTGTTGTGAAGTAGCAATAGCAATAAAGATACCCTAGAGGAGCATTAGAGGCTCCATGGAATTAATCTTTTAAAGCTAAAGGGTTCAGCAAAGTGTAGAGTGTCATTTGTTTTGGGACTTGCATGTGGGAAGATTTGTGTAGAAGGAAGGGGCAAGATCTTATGTGCCCTCTGCAAGCACTGTAGTCTATTTTATATCTCTATCTTATATCTCTATCTTCTATCTATTTACCTTATATAGTCTCTGGATATTTTCTATCCAGGCTGAAGTCCTGTATACAAAAAAAAAGGGTGGTAATATTCTAAATACTGTTTTGTCTCCATATTGAGGTTCCTGTCTGCTTCATCAGGCCACAGGATGCAGCTCTGCTCGTCCCATCTCCCAACAGACTATAACACCACTGGCTGGGATGGAGCCATTCCTGATTTATCAGCATAACACACCACACTTCTTCATCTGGCACAGTTGCCACCTGGCTGGGGTTATTTGGAGAAGATCACCTGCTGCTGTTTTTAGGCAAGCTGTCAATATAGCGAATAACTCATTGCCTTCACCTTAAATGTTTTAGCCACCTTCTTTTTCCACTAAATATTTTATAACTTTGTTGTCTTTAAAGGAGGTAGCCCAGTACACAAAGAGAGTCTACTAAATTTTTTGGTAACTGTACTGTAAAAACCTATGGAACGTCTCTAAACAGGCTATTTATTATTACTGGCTCATTTCTTTGGGTTAGGAGGATGGATTCAGTGAGACAAATGGAAAAGCACTGCGTGGACTTCTCTTTGGATAAAACAAGTTGTCACATCAGCTTTGATGAAGTGGCCTATGCTGTTGCCTTCCCTTCCTCTGAAAACTCAAGGTATGTCAACTGTACCATATCCTCCACTGAGGACTCCCAGCAGTTCTTTAAAAAGTTCACAGCCTTCTACTGTGAGAAGGATGGCTTATATGTTCTCACCTTTCTTCACCTGCAATCTCAACCAATTTCCTTTTATATACCTTTAGTAAAACGCCCTCTGTTATAGTCTCTCAGGTTTTATAGTGTTTTTAACTTAAAACCTCCAACTTTGATCCCTTATAGCTTCTGAATTTTTATATATATATATCTAAATGCATGCCATCAATTTGTTTAGAGGTGGATTTATTGCATCTAATGCTATGCAAACACCTCAGATATAAAAGGTTTTGTGGCCTATGTAGGAATTGGTGGTTGATGATTTCTGTATACTTAAAAAAATCCTTACTGCACACAGTTGCTGACTGTTAGCCACACCAACAGAAATGCTCTGGCTTTGTTGCTGATCTCAATTATTAAGTTGAGCCTGGTATCAGAGATCACCTGTGCTACCTCCTGCCTGTTATTTTTGGCCATTTTTCTGCTTTCATCACTCCTTTTCCCCTCTTATTCACTATCCCTTAGCTGGAATTGGTTTAAGTGGGGGTTGTTTAGCCTGGAGAAGAGAAGGCTCTTGGAGGGGCCTTAATGTGGCCTTTGAGTCCCTTAAGGTGGTAACTACTGTTTTAATAGGACAAGGAGCAATGTTTTTAAACCAGAAGAGGTAGATCCAGACTAGATGTAAGGAAGAAACTTTTTACAGTGATGGTGTTGAAACACTAGAACTGGTTTCCCAGAATGGTGGTGGATGTCCCATCCCAGGAAGCATTCAGAGTCAAGTTGGACTGGGCTCCAGTCTAGTTGAAGATGTCCCTGCTCATTTCAGGGGTGGGTTTGACTAGGTGACCTTTAAAGGTCCCTTCCAACCCAGATTATTCTATGATTCTAAATAATGTGGAATCTGAGGGGGAGGATGTTGGTTTCAGGAGAGAGACAAACAGAAGTTTTCTACTGGGATGAAAAGAGCCAGTGCAGCCTGAGTGAGTACCTGTGACCAGACTAACTGCCTGAAAATATGACTATTTCTGTGTTCTTCTCCAGTATTTAATTAACAGCATGTAGAAAAGGAGCCCTCAGAAAATTGCACTCTTGCAACAGTGACAGACCCTGGGGGGTGTGTCCCAAGCAGTGTTTATCCCGAGCCTTCTGCTTCTCACTGCAAGGCCTGTCCCTTGTCAGAGGCTTGTAGGGTCAGAGACCTTGCTGCACTCCTGAGCCTGCTGGGTGAGCTTGTGTTTCATAACATGCAGGGAATTGCTCTCCAGAGCTGAGCCTTCATTACTGAGGGGATGTTTGAGCAAAGTACCAGCCTGCTGGGCAGGGAAGACGCAGCTGTTTCTGCATTTTTATTTTCTGATGTCTGACCTGTTTCTCCCCAAAGGCAAACCTTCCATCTGCCAGCGCAGCCTCCGTGCCTGTGCAGTGGTTACAGAAGTAACATGTATGGCCCCTGAAGCCACCCTGCTTGTACCATCTATGCTGCTTGGTGCTTGAGAGTTGAACAGCAGCTCAAGTATCACAAAATAGGTTGGGACTGCTTTCCTGGAGCTGTGGGTCATCAGAGGGTCACAGATCATGCACTGATTGCACTGGTTTTGCTGTTGAAGCCGAGGTGGACAGGAGGAATTACCACAGCTGGTTTTCTGGCCATATTCCTTCCTTTGCCATCCACTTGTGTTCTTTCATTCTGACAGAGCACGCAAGGTCTTCCTTCATCGCATGTGCTCTGCGACTGTTTTCCCCACAGTGATGCTGCAGGATTCCATTTGCTCATCAAGCTCAGGTCCTGAAAAGTCTTTTCAGTAGACATTAGCATATGTGATTTTCTGGGTTCTCATGTTAATGCACTGTGCAAGCATGGGAGTAGCATGGCAGAGAGCCATCCACCAACTGGCTGGGGGGTTGTTCCTGGTGCTGTAGCGCTTCGCATGCCTTGGGGTATTAGAGCTCTTAGATGCATGAGGAATGCAAGATGTTCAAGTGCCCAGGAAAACTGGCAGTCCCCTTTTTGCGGATTTATCATGCTGATTTCAAGCTGCTGCTTGCATTAAGAAAGAACCAGTCAGAAATACTGGAGCTTTCAGAGTGGAAGCAGCCTGGGGTGTAGCCAGCTTCCTTAATGGGACAAGTACAGGTGCAGGCAGTTTGCTGCAAAAACAAAAGCTTCCAGGTGGAAAGGCACCATTAGTTTCCATTAATTGTGATGCTGAAATGAAGTTCAGGGCTGAGGTCACAACTCAGCTAGATTGATAAGAGGCTTCAAATGGGCTTGTTAAATAGTGGCCTTACAGAACCCATGGGACTGGCTGACTGACTGCTGCACAAGCAGAAGAGCTGTCACCTTCTGCTTGAAAATTACTACAGAAAATGTCAACTAATGGCAGGTTTTTTTCCTGTCACCTTATGCCTGAGTGAACTTAATGATACCTGCCAAAGTCCTGGCTCATGTCAGCAGCAGCAGCAAGGCCTCTTTTGCTCTCTACTGGACGAGGAATGGAGCTCCTTACAAGTAACTTCTGCAAATATCCAGTAGGCCCTGCAGGTAAGATCCTAGTTTTCCCTACTCACCAGTATCTGGATGAGCTGATTAGAACAGCTGTGCTGGAGCCAACATTCTGCATCCCTGGAATTTTTTTCCTTACAAATGCACTTACAGTCCTGTTAGAGACGGTGCTGGCTCAGTCATTCTGGTGCTAATGTTTTTGGGTTAAGTTGCACTGTTGCAGCTTCATTTAACAGTGCTGTGGTGTAGCCCCATTTAAAATCTGCAAGGCAAAACAAAACTGTGGCCCTGTAGTTCCAGTAACTGTCAGCTGGATGAGCCTAACTGTATCCTCACAACTGTTAGCAGGAATCAGTGGGAAGGGCAAGGATATGTGTAATATTTAGTCTGTTGTAATCTAAGGCTTTGGAATTTAGTAAGCTTTTTTTGGATTAGTAGGTGCTTTATACTGGAGGACTAGTTTTCATCCAGAGGCTTACTCTACAGAGATGGACTGTATCTATGTGGTAATAAAATCTCTTTCCTGTAGCACCTCTGTAGTTACCTTTGCCTTGCCAGATGGATTCTAAGCAATTCATTACAGGTATTTGTAATAAGCTGCCTTCGGGCACAACACCAGCTGCCTTGATGGCATAACACCATCAAGCTTTTGCAAATGGCAGTGCAAAACAGAGCTGTGGATGCTGCCAAATTATCAGGTAAATAACACTCTTTTAGGATTTCAAACAATGATGCTATATGTTATCCCATCAGAATCTGCTCCAAACCCACAAAATGTTCCAGAGAATTGCCACTGACAGCACTGGGACAACGTTAGTAACAGTAATGACTCTTTAGCAATGGATGTGATTCCAGTTTTCATGGTCAAAATATGAGTTATTATGGACAAATGAAAAGCCACCTTTCTGCTCTGGTGGCAGACAAAGCCACTCTTGGAAAAACAATGCTATCCTTTTTATGGTTAATATTTGAAAGTTGTCGCCACGTGCTGTGTGAGCTGACAGCTGTGTTGTGTTTGTAGAGTATTTAGAGCAGTAATAGTAAAGCCTCTAACACTCACTGATTATCATCATCTTTAACCTCCAAAGTGCACAAGTGTAACAAGGCCAGAGGGTTCTCCAAAGCAGCAGCTGGAGGGTATTATTTTGGAGC